GTGTCTATGTGTTTATTGTTTATCTGTGCATTGATTTGGAAGATATGCTCAAGTGTTAATACCAACGTGTAGAGTGGGGTGGTCAGGTAGTGATAAAGAACTTTTACTTTTTACTCCACACAGTTTCATTTAAAAAATTTATTTCTTTTACCACAAACATGTATTTTTTTAATAAATAAAAGAAGGACCTTCTGCAGAAAAATGGGTAAGGGGAGTAAATGTAAAAGTGACTTCCTAGTATGAGCCCTAATACTTAGAACCGTGATCCTGAAATAGGGGACACTTTCTGTTACCCATCATTTTCAGGTGTATATATTTAAAACTGATTCCCTCAAAAGGGACTTTTTCGGTAATTGACAGGCATTTAATACACCATTAAGATAAGTTCTGTATTCACTTATAAAAGCACTTTTGGCCATCTCTGGAGTTTAGTTTCCTCAACCTATAAAAATCAGAGGCTAAACTAATGTGATTTCTTCATTTCCTTGCAGCTGACATTCTATGATACTGTGATGTTAAAATGATCTGCAAAAACCTTTAAAAAAGAGGTTCATAATACATCTATGATTCATTTCTGAGTACATTTTTAGCCAGGAAGGCTAGAAAGCTATTCTGTTACCATAACAACACAACCGTTGTCTTTTACCTTGTATCTGACCCTGGGTTTTGAGTTGGTTTTTAGGTTACTGCTTTATTCTTCATCATAAAACCGATAGATATATGTCTAAGTAGAAAATACACAAGGGAAAAACTTCCAAATTTCCATAATCCTACTGCCCAGATCAAATAACTGTTAACATTTTCTTTCAATCATTTCTGTAAAGAACCAATCTTGAACTCAAAAGAGTAGCACAAAAGAAAACACCTAAAATATTTCTGCTCCATATATTCATAAGGATTGTTAACATTGAGTACTTCTCCCAATTAAGTGTATTTTGTTGATAAGTACATACATACATGTGGGGAAAATTTCTAAGAGCTTTCATGCACATGCATAAATCTATGCTCACTTGGAGAATATAAGTCAGACATTAGCCTANGCTTTCATGCACATGCATAAATCTATGCTCACTTGGAGAATATAAGTCAGACATTAGCCTAATATCCCATTCCATTTTTTATTCTCAAATTTGTACCACATATATATCTTTCTTCTGAGTCCTATTCACATTTGTGTTTGTGCAAGAGACAAGTGCCAAAATGCTTCTTTTAACTGCTCTACACTTGTTATACTTTTTATGTGTACACTAGGCTTATTCATTCTTTAATGAGCCATGTGCTGTGGGAAATTACAGGTGAATATGAGATTCCTGCTGACAATAACTCTTGTTCAGTGTGAGCTTTTTACCTTGTATATTCTTCTTGCAATTGACCAGGATCAGGTGGGAAAAATTTTACAGCTAGGCGAAGCAGTGCATTCTTTGGCCCTATAAAAAGAAACATATT